TCTAATTAAAGATATTGAGACGAATTTACGTCCGTACGTGAACCCGATTTCAGCAACCGGTCTTCGAATTCGAGCTTCAGCCGTGACGAGCGAAGTTTTGGCTTTCTTACAGTGCGCGAGTGACGTACCCAGCTGAAGAGAGGGAAAGCGGCGTAAAGGATGGAGAGGAAACTACCCTTCAGAAATAAAAGACGCCGTCTCACGATTACAAAATAAACACCAAGCTAAACACAAAGTCGTTGGCGGACTTGCCACGAATCAAATAGAAATAACGACGGTTCAGAATGGCTTATCGGGAATTCACCTAAACAAAGTGACTAACAAACTTCACAACGTCCGCTACTGGCGAAAACAATCCATAATCACGGACATTGTTGTCGCACGGATTGGCACTCGAATTATCACGGTCACTTCGTCGAACGAAAACACCCAAAAAGCAATTGGTAACTATGACGGGATTGATCCTCGATCAACAAACTACAACCTCCGTCGCTCCTGTTTTCGCACCGTTTACTAATTATTTGCGTCTCGATGTCAGTACACCTATATGCAACAACGAATATATGCGCCTACGTGACAGAAATAGTACAGAAAAGCGTCTTGAACTTCCCTCTCTCTCTTTCACGCGCAGTGACGGATCTAAACTCATTGGCGCCTAAGGTTAATTCATGTGAAAATATTTTGTTTTCCTTCATATGTAATGTTCAGAAATTTACTCACTCAAACTTTGAAGTTTGAACAGAAAAAGTGTTGAAAATATAAAAATATGAAAATGACTTCATAAGAGATGAATAATTTTGGTAGCTATAAAAATAATATTGGATAAACAAGAATTGCATATGCACAATCTTGGGGGGAGGGAGGGGATTTCTACACTATTTGGTTGAATATTCAATTTTTTCATTCCTTACAAAAATACACCTATATCACGATCGTCTTTTGTAAGATGATAAATAAATATTATAAAATTATAAAAAATATAGTATGTAGCTTTAATATTGTGTCACTAATTTTATTTGCCTTTCCTTGCATATTTTATATCAAGTTTAATTCGGTACAGATACATTTTATATTTTTCTGCTAACTTTTTTAAGTATATACATACTTGTGAGACCGTACTTAGTCAAATGACTAATCCGGATATACCCTGATAAAAGCATATTAATAAATGTGTAGGTCAATAAATAAGAAGATATCGAAAGCTCTGTATTTATCATCTGAATGCAAAGCTAAAGTTTCACGAATCTCACGTCACGATGCATTCGCCCCTGCTCTTATACTCTTTTTACCTCCTTTTCGCCCCCTATCATTGCCGACTCGTCATGACTTGCTGTTGGAAGGGATTACATGCTGAACCTATGCGTCCAATCACGAGTCGTCGATAAGAATGTGTATACATTCGTTACAGCGAATTGTGCCGTTTAAGGGGAAACTCGCCAAGTTCTGGCTATCCCTTCCAACAAACCACACAAAAGGACTCGTGTGCGCAAATGCGTATACAATCAGGGGAGCTAACTTCACGTACTATAAGTTGAAACCACGTTCGTGGCGCTATCTACCAACTAACCGTTAACTAAAATGTGTAAAGGTGTGAAGAAGTGCACTCGAGTGTATGGAATTATGCATGCGCAGAGCGCTGGCTAAAGAAAATAAATTAGGAAAAGTCCACACTCCCTACTTTACCGCTTGAAAAGTATAAATATGATTGAAAATAAATATTAGGAATATAATTAAGATATAATTAGGAATAGAAACGTATAAGATATTTATACAGGGTGTCCCAAAAGTCGGACAGGAGCCGAAAATGGGGGGTAGCTGAGACGATTCTGAACAACAATTTCCTTTGCAAAAATGTCGGATGGGGCTTCGTTAAGGAGATATTAAGCGAAAACCCCGACCAATCAGAGCGCGCGTAGACCGTTCGAGCGGCCGCGGTAGCGAAGGCTACGCGTTAGGCGACAGCGTCAATGTCCTACGATGCACGACGAGTCACTTGTTCGCGTACAAGCGCAGCCGCCTAACGCGTAGCCTTCGCTACCGCGGCCGCTCGAACGGTCTACGCGCGCTCTGATTGGTCGGGGTTTTCGCTTAATATCTCCTTAACGAAGCCCCATCCGACATTTTTGCAAAGGAAATTGTTGTTCAGAATCGTCTCAGCTACCTCCCATTTCATCATTCCTCTTGAATATGAATATTGGGTTTCGATTTCCAATATTCTACATTCCACTTCTCGATCCTAAATATGCATATATGTATACTCTGTAACATAAACTTATTGAATGGATTAGTATACACGTACAAATCGAAATATGACAGCAGAAAAGAATACTGTAATTGAAATTGAAATAGAAAGAAGTTCAATTTAAATTTTGAGTTTCGAAACAGGAATATTTTGAAAGTAAATTTGGATAAAAAATGAATTACGTTTCAATGCCAAGACAAAAAAAAGAAAACTTCAAAGATTACACGTTTAATAATTATTTATGTAATTTCTTTGTTTCAGGGTTCCGGCGCAGGAGATCAACGTTTCCAAGGAAAGAAGGAGAAGTTACGAGACGTGGAGGAAATATGATTTATACTAAAGTTCGATTCTTTTCCATATTATTGTAATAAATTTTGTAAGTTTGGAAATGTGATTTTGCATACCGGAACATCTGAATTTACGTTTAAAATTTACATTCTTTCATTTAACGAACACGCGTAATATCGACTCTACTCAAAGATTTTCTATCAATACGAAACATCGAATTGCATTTAAGTACTATTTTAATGCAAGCTTTTTACTTATCGTGAAAATAAACGATTGCAAGCAAATTTTTATTACGCAACAAATTTCCAATATTTACGAAAATATAGTCTACTTTGCTACTGTAACTTTTCTTTAAGTTAATGGTAGTTAAAAAATACACTATATCATGTGGTAACTCTAATAATGAATATTCATTAATCGTATCAAAAATCTAATGGTTAATTGACTCTGTCATCGTCACCAACGTATTACTGATAAGATAGTAATTTCATAATATATCAAATATGTAACTAAGAGAAATATATGGTTCATAAAAATGAAACGTCTCAACATTAAATGTTATGTTAAATAAAATATACAAATGTCTCGATATGATTACACTTATAGCAGTATTTCTGTTGATGAATAGTTAATTTGTAATTCGCCACAGTCGCCTGAAACAGAAGAAAAGTATATTATTCTCTATTCTTCAAATATAAACAAAAGTCCGTAGATGGTCTCCTTCTTCTGATGTTGTCCTAGCTAAGAATATGCAGTTACCTCAAAACGGACGCGATTTATCAAACGCAACACTAATAGCAACGCGATTCATGATTCTCCAAGCAAGTTACTCTCCGATTGGCTGGGATTTGCATGGTGGGGGAGAACTTTCCCGAGAAACGTTTACTGCTTGCGCACGGTGTGGTCGGTTAGGTAGGTTAGGGCGGGATAGAAGGTCTAGCCTGCGCAACCTATGTCGGACAGGAGAGTTCTCCCACCATTTAACTCCCAGCCAATCGGAGAGTAACGTGATTGGAGAACACGTTATAAATGTAGCTTCGATTGCTCGCAGGCGTTACTATAAGAAAAGCCACCTGTAAGAGCAGAAGTAGCAGCAGAAACGCCATTTGAAGAGACACATTTTTTACGAGGAATCCAAGAAACCAGCTACGATGGATCAGAGCACATAGAAACGGAGAATCGGAGCATGGAGATATAGAGAATTGGAGCACAGAGTAATTATCGTTTGAAATGAAGATGAAAAGACCAGAATGGCATTTTGAAATATTCGTAACAACAGCATCGTGAGCTTAAGAAGACTGAAGATATCATCGTTTTAAATAAATCAGTGGTTTTCACCGCTAAGTAAAAGAACAATCCAATTATTCTATTACAACGTAGCTGCTAATCAACGTCAAGAAGAATTCTTGTATTCCTCGTAAAAATGTGTCTCTTCACATGGTGTTTCTGCTGCTGCTTCTGCTCTTACAGGTGGCTTTTCGCCTAGTAACGCTTGCGAATAATCGAACCTACATTTATAACGTGTTCTCCAAGCAAGTTACTCTCCGATTGGCTGGGAGTCGCATGGTGGGGGAGAACTTTCTTGAGAAACTGAGTTTGACTGAGCTGCGGTCTGATTGGTCCGTCGGAGGTAGCGCGATTGCTTATATTCGTTTCCTCGCGGTTCGTCAGTCCGCAAGTATGGAACGAAGCGGATGCAGACGTAGCTGCTAAAGTCATTTGTTTTGCTTAAATTATTATGTAATGTAAAATGAATGTAAAAATCAGTACAACATAGAATTTCGTATGTTGAAACACTTCCTGGAATCATCGATTACAACAAAAAGTATAGTGTGTAGATTATTGCATGAAAGCATTGTACAGTGCTCGCTTTTCCGCTTCTTGCATTTTTCTGCTGCTTGTTGCTTGTATGTATAATATATTTTTTTTTAATTTGGGGTAATACACCCCCGGCTGGGGCAGGGGACACAACATTTAGATTAAGGATAAGGGTGGTTAGGATGTGGTTTTTGTCTTGGCCACCCACTTTTTTGGGTCTCTATATGCAGTAAAGGTGAGACCTGGACCCCCTATATTATTTAAGTATGTAATTGCACGTAATTTTATTTCGAGTTACGAGTAATAAAAAGCGCCCCGTGTGGCTGCTCTTGTGAGTTTTTCCATTTTATATTTTACAAATCGATGTTGCTAATGAACCTCGCGATCGTTTCTCAATATTTGTTCAATTAACATTCTTTAAAATTAACATTGCGAATAATGAAGTGGCCCGAGTTGCTGCTTAAATGACACGACGAGTATCGACGGAAACCGACGGCTACCGACACCGACGCTGAAATTTTCATAACAGTGGTGGTACTCACCGATACGCTAGATGTGTGTGTGTGTGTGTGTGTGTGTGTGTGTGTGTGTGTGTGTGTGT